ATTGATTGATTGATTGATTGATTGATTGATTGATTGATTGATTGATTGATTGATTGATTGATTGATTGATTTGATTTGATTTGATTTATACCCTGCCTATCTGGTCTACTCAACCACTCTAGGCGGTATCCAGTACAGGATAAAACAATAAAACACAAGAACATTACATAATCATTTGATACAGTTACAATAAAGTAGAGTGAGAATAAGAAGGAATAGAAAAGAAATCAGGTATTGACTGGAGGGAAGGCCTGGATGTACAACCATGTTTTTAATTGGGTTTTAAAGATTCTCAGCGTAGGGGCAGCACGAATCTCTGAAGGGAGGTTGTTCCAGAGGCGAGGAACCACCGCCGAGAAGGCCCGGTTTTGTGTCTTTTCCTTCCGGGCCTCTCTCAGCGTCAGGCTCCTCAGCCTCACCTCCTGACTCACGCGGGTGATCCAGGTAGACCTTGGTGGGAGCAGGTGTTCCACCAAATATCAAGGTCCTAAACCGTTTAGGGCCTTGTAAGTAAGCATTTAGACTTTGAAGTCGACGCGGAAACGAATGGGCAGCCAATGCAATGTAGCCAGAGTTGGAGAAATACGTTGGTATTTTCTCACTCCAGTGAGGAGTCTGGCCGCCGCATTCTGCACCACCTGAAGTTTCCGCATCAGCCTCAAAGGCAGCCCCACGAAAAGTGTGTTACAGGGGTCTAATCTTGAGATTACGAGCGCATGCACCAAGGTAGTGAGTGCCCCCGTGTCGAGATAGAGCCGCAGTCGGGCGATCCGCCAGAGGTGGAAAAAGGCGGTACGGACTACCAACACCACCTCCGTTTCCATGGTGTGCACGGGTCCAGATGTACGCCCAGGCTGCGGACCCCACTCTTCGTGGCCAGGGTCACCTCCCAAACGTGAGAGAGTCACAAAAGCCACCAACCACGGGGCCACCCACCCTGAGAACTTCCATCTTGTCCGGATTCAGGCTCAGCCCATTTTCCTGCATCAATTTCAGTACGGCCCCCAGGCAGCGCTGTAGGGACAGGACGGCATTACCTACAGTTGGTGAAAAGGAGATGTAGAGCTGGGTGTCATCGGCATATTGATGACACAAAGCCCCACAACCCCTGATGACCCCTCCCAGCGGCCTCATAATAAACATGGAAACAACAACAGCAACAACATAATAGTACAGGTCTTTCACTAGAAATATAAAATCTGATATAGTTCCTTCACACCATTGTAATCTATCAGAATAAAAGATTGCACCAAAGATGGACGTGGGAGGCAGGTGGGAAATAAATCTTGCCATTCTTATTAACCTAAATAACAAAAGGAAACCATGTGTTTGAAAAGTCATCTTGGAAATGAGGCTGTTTAAATAATCTGAACTGGCGTGTTAATTTTTCCATTAGGGCAATATGCCACATTCTGTTTCTCCATGCATATAAAGATGAATTACAGATTCCATTCCAGTTTGTGGCAATATGAAAGTGTGATAGCATAGAAAAAAAGATAATAAACTGTTTATGAAGTAGCTGTGGAGAGATAGAAGAGCTAGATCTGGTGACCTTATATATTTTTGCCCTGTGATTGACTCTACTGCTGCAAAACCTTTGGACCAGAACATTTGGTTTGGGGGGGCATATCCACCACATATGAAAGTATGTACCAATATGTCCTTATTTCTCCCAACAGAATGAACTGACTTCTTTACTGGTATAACTTAAATGGAGTGGTATAAAATACCATCTGTGAAGAGACTTAAGAGAATGCTATTTAAATTGGGAGGAGATTGATCTGAGATGAGCCTTGTTCCACAGAGCCTGCCATTTTACATCAGATATGGTCATCCCCAAACCGTGTTCTGCTAAGTGCAATTCCTAACATTTGGAATGAAATTACATAATGAGGATCATGGGCTTGCAATGCTCACTAAGCAATCCTTTACATAAATGGTGTACTCCATTGCAGCTCGGTAAGCAAATAATTAAAAAAAAAAACCACCTTGGCTTTAGCAGTTAAGTTCTACCTTAGAAGTGATTCTGTGCCAAGCTTCAAATGTTACAGCCCACCCTTCCTTCTCTGTCTACTTTTTCCCCAAATTCTTTTTTGTTCATCTTGAACATAATCATGGTTAATATAGGCATTATTCCATGTTTTCCTCTGTTCCTCCTTATGGCTAATGGTACTGTTAAGTGGCTCTCACAGCCTCAAAAAAACCTACAAAGGGTCACACTTCATAATTAATACCAAGTTGTGTCATCAACAGCTTGCTCAAAGGTAGCATTTGAAGATACAGGATCCTGAAGATAAGATCAAAGAGGAAATTGAAAGATATTACCTGTCTTGTTAATGACTTCCTGAAGTTCAACCATAGAACTAAGGACTGCAGCAAGAAGGTCATGACTGGTGAACCAATTGAAGGCTTGAAGTGAACGGATTTGTTTCTTCTGTTGCTCTGCATTACCAGAAAGAAAAGAAATTAAAATAATTTAATGCCACCACAAAAAAATGGATTTAAAACACTGATTTTAAAATTCCAAAATTAGAACTTACATTCAGAGGTTGCAGTCAACAACTTAACATTATTACAAAACATTTTGGATTATATTAATCCATATTATAAACATTTCATGGGAGCCAGTGTGGTTTAGTAGTAAAATGTCAAACTAGGATTTAGAAGACCAAGGTTCAAGTTTTCATTCAACTACAATAACTCATGATGGGGTGCGGGGCAATGGTAAACTTCTCCTTCAACACTTCACAATACCCCCAAAACTCTACTTAGAGTTGCCATAAATTAGATGTGATATGACAGCACACAACAACAAAATGAATACTGTATTTGTCTGTGTATAAGACAATGCTTTTTCCTAAAATCCTTGGAGGAAAAATTGAGGGTCGTCTTTTACATGGAAGTAAGCTGAGGAGAAAACCATGCGGTAGCAAAACTGCCTACTGTGTGCTCATCAGTGAGGTCTGGAAGCACCTCCGTGCTGGGATTCACCCCCTTCGTTTCCACTTCTGCTTCACAGATCTGAAGCAGCAGGCGCTCTTCCTCCTTGCCTGCAAGCAGATCCGGAGTGGGGTCTGGAGGCACCTCCATGCCGGGATTCACCCTCTCCATTTCTGCTTCCGCTGCTCTTTCTGCTGCCGCCTACCAGCATAGTTTTTTCCCCCCCAACTTGGGCACTCAGGCTCAGCCACCACTGGTGTAGGCAATATGATCACTGAGCCCATGAATATGTCAGAAAATAAAAATTTAAAAAGCTACTGTCTTACTCTGCAAAATTCAAACTGAATGTAATCAGTTATACAAAAAAGCGTGGAAATAAAGCTGCAGAGAGACGGTTTGGATCTCCTCCCACTGAGTGGAGATCAGACAGTGGAGTGAGTGATCAGACAGTGGAGAAAACAGGAAGAACAACTCCTTAAGGTGCCAAAAAAGAAAAAAGCCTTAAGAGGAAAATCAGCAAAATGGCCAAACTTGGAGCAGAGGCTCAAGACTTGGATTCTGAAGCAGCGCCAGAGTGGGATATGTGTATCAACCAAGCTTATTCAACAACAGGCAAGAATATTGCAAGTGAAATGAAGATGGTTGATGTGGCAATCGACCTTATGGCCCCTGTTTATAAGGCCCTCACAAAGGATCACACCCTTTTTCCTTCACGCTGCCACCAGGTATTCTCCTAATACCAATTATGTTATACACATGTGCTGCCAAAACTAAGGGTTATTGAATTTAGGAATCAGAGGTTTAATTAACAAATATTCTTTTATTGTCAAGTAAATCATAAACATAAATCACTTACGAACTGTATCGGGTATTAACACGGATTGGATCATGGAGGCAATCACCTTTATTCCAAACTGCTATATACTTTCAATCAATATCTCTCTTATAGTGCTTAAAACTTCGTTCCTGCTTGCTCAATATTGTTTAACCTTCTCAATTCCCTCTCCTAACCCTCTCCTTCTCTCTCCTAAACCCTAACTGCCATTTCACATCTCCAACTGTCTCTCTAATTCTACCCCTCCTGCCTTATCCTTGGCTCCTCCCCCTTGAGCTTCTGTGATGGACAGGCAGGAATAAGATCACCTGTTGGCATTTCACTACAGTTGATTTAACAGGAAAGGCAAAATGGTGCTTTAATTTCATGGGGAGAGAAGGGTTGGCCATGAGAGCATAAACAGAGTTAGCACAGAAAATGCCACCTGTTTATAAGGATAAAATCCAACAGTTTCACTCCTATGTCATAAAGCTTCGGGAATAATATGATTTTGAACCAAGTCAGATTGCAAGCATCGATGAGGTGCCTCTCAATTTTGATGCGTCTCCCAACAGAATGGTTGACGTGAAAGGAATCAAACCAGTGGCAATCAAAACAAGTGACCATGAAAAGACACACTATACTGCTGTGCTTTCATGCTGTGCAGATAGTACTAAACTGCCTCCTATTCTTATTTTTAAGAGGAAAACATATCCTAGAGACCATACCATGTGGCATTATTGTGCAAGATCATGAGAAGGGATGGATGGATGAAGACATCATGGCCATTTGCAAAGGTTTGGTCCAAAGGACCTGGAGAGCTCTTAAAGAAGCCAGCTCTACTTGTCTTTGATCAATTCCGAGCATATTTAACAGAAAAGACAAAAAGGGTTGCATCGGATTTGCAAACACATCTAGCAGTTATTACTGGTGGACTTACAGGTCAGCTGCAGCCAGCCACTAGGTGTTTCACTCAACAAGCCATTTAAAGTTCTGATGAGAGAAGAATGGAATAGATGAATTCAAAAAGCAGGTAGTAACTTGACACCAGCAGGAAGAGTGAAAAAAACAGTGGGCGCAGAGCAGCTTTCGGTTTCCTGGGCTTCAAAACCCCCTCCACTGCCCTCTGTCTTCCATCCACAGTGCCCTCTGCCTCCTCTCCCTGTGGGGGAGGGTTTTGAATTGGAGGAGGTTTTGAAGCCTGGAAAGCCGAAAGCCGCTCCGTGCCCGCTACTGGCTTTCAGCTTCCTGGGCTTCCAAAGATGCCCCCACTGCCCTCTGTCTCCCGTCCCCATTGCCCTCTGCCTCCTGTCCCCATGGACAGGAGGCAGAGGGCAACGGGGACGGGAGACAGAGGGTAGCGGAGGGGGTTTGGAAGCCCCAGAAGCTGAAAGCTGGCAGCAGGCGCGGAGCAGCTTTCGGCTTCCAAAGCTGCACCTGCTGCCCTCTGTCTCCTGTCCCTGTGGGGACAGGAGGCAGATGGCAATGAGGACGGGAGGCAGAGGGCAGAGGGGGCGGCATTGAATTCCCCCCCCCCTTTCGTAGGTCAAAGCTCTGGCCACAAGTTGAACCAAAATTTTGCGGTTGGAGCTTTTTGTACCTCAAAATTTGTGTAAGTAGGGACCTTCGTAAGTCGAGGGTCCACTGTACTTGCATTTTTACATGCTTTTGAACTGCTAGGTTGGCAGGAGCTGGGACAAACAACGGGAACTCACTCCGTCACATGGATTCCATCTTACGACTGCTGGTCTTATATACACACAACCACTCTCATAGGAAAATATTGACTTAAGTACTTAGATTTGAGTTAAGAACTGAAAAAAACCCACGTGGGAGGCAGGGAAAGTGCAAAATGTGAACTTTCAGTTAACTGTTGGCCAGTGAAAAGGGTGCCTGTCTGCCTCCTCACTCCTCCCAGCGTTTAGAGAGTGGATTGGGAGACAGTCTTCGGACTGCCTGGTACTGTACTGCCTGGACTGTATTTTCCCTGCCTTCCCTGAACCTTTCTTGAGCTAAGAAAAAAAGAAACAAAATATCCCCCTCTAGTGGTCGAAGGCGGAATAGCAGCTTCCCATTAGTTTCTATGGACGGAAAAGAGCAGATACGGATCAAATGGTTTTCAATGCATTCTTATGGGAAATGCAGATTTGACCTGAGAACTTTTTGACTTGAGAACCACCTTCCAATACACAATGGAAATATATATAAAAAAATTTACATAATAGAAAACATTTCAACAAAATAGGGCAAACAATAGGGTGGAGGGGAAAAGGGGGACATCAGGAATTGATTGAGGGGAAGGCCTGCCGAAACATCCATGTTTTTAGCTGATTTTTAAAGATACCCAGCGAGGGAGCCACATGAATCTCAGGAGGAAGGTTATTCCAGACGCAAGGAGCCACCGCCGAGAAGGCCCGATTTCTTGTCTTTTCATTCCGGGCCTCCGTCAGCGTTGGGCTCCTCAGCTTCACCTCCTGGCTCGCACGAGTGACACGGGTAGATCTTGGTGGGAGTAGGCGTTCCGCCAAGTATCGAGGCCCTAAACAGTTTAGGGCTTTATACATAAGCATCAACACTTTGAAGTCAATGCGGAGCCGGATGGGCAGCCAATACAATGCAGCCAGAGTGGGTGAGATATTTTGGTATTTTTTCACTCCACTAAGTAGTCTGGCCGCTGCATTCTGCACCACCTGGAGTTTCCACACCAGCCTCAAAGGTAGCCCCACGTAGAGTGCATTACAGTGGTCTAATCTTGAGATTATGCGCGCATGCACCAAGGTAGTGAGCGCCCCAACATCAAGGTAGGGCTGCAGCTGGGCTATCCACCTAAGATGAAAAAAGGCGGTACGAACCACCAACGCCACCTGAGTTTCCATAGTGAGTGCCGGGTCCAGATAGATCCCCAAGCTGCGGACCCCATCCTTGGCAGGAAGAGTCACCCCCTCAAAAGAGAGGAAGTTTCCCAGGCACTCAACTACGGGGGCGCCCACCCTCAGTACCTCCGTCTTGTCTGGGTTCAGCCTCAGCCCGTTCTCCTGCATCCATTGCAGTACAGTCCCCAGGCAGCGCTGAAGGGACAGAACAGCATCACCTGTGGTAGGTGAAAAAGAGATGTAGAGCTGGTTGTCATCAGCATACTGATGACACAATGCACCACACCCCCTGATGACCCCACCCAGCAGCCTCATATAAATGTTGAACAGCATTGGGGAGATAATCGACCCCTGTGGAACCCCACAATTGAGACTCCATGGGGCCGAAACGCTCTCCCCAAGCTGTACTCTCTGGGGATGGTCCTCCAAGAAGGAACGGAGCCAGGCCAATGCCAGGCCATCAATTCCCAGCTCAGAGAGCCTCCCCAGGAGGATACCATGGTCAATGGTATCAAAGGCCACTGAGATGTCAAGGAGGACCAGCAGAGACACTTTGCCCTTGTCAGCCTCCCTCAATAGGTTATCACATAGGGTGACCAATGCCATTTCTGTGCCATGACGCGGCCTGAAGCCCCACTGAAATGGATCCAGGGCATCTGTTTCATCCAAGTGCTCCTGGAGCTGGTCGGCCACTACCCTCTCGACTACCTTGCTTAAGAAAGAAACATTGGCGACGGGCCTATAGTTGCCAATTTCATCCGCCGCCAAACTGGGTTTCTTCCTAATGGGCCTAATGAGTGTGTCCTTGAGGGCAG